AGACCCAACGACTTTAGTATTTGTAAAAGAAGGTACACTGATATGAATATATGCATTCCTAAAACAACTGTGCCAAGCTTTTCAATATGTTGAAAGGAGGAAAAGGTACAAATCAAACCCCATACCGAATGGATACATGTCATAAAAGATTGCATTTAGCGTGGTTTCAGCGAAGCCAGGCTGCTTTGGAACGCTGCTTTTTAGTGCAGACATTTGGATCGTCTCTCTGTAACCACTCGCTGCATTGATCGAAGCAGTCCAACATTGATGTGGTATCCGGAACATGGAGACCGCGGCACGGTTGCAGTGTACATTAGCTCCGACAGTGACAAAGCGATATCCACTAGTATGTGGATTAACAAGGCCAAAGTTGACGTCACTAAGGCCGAACAGACAAATGGCACGACTAGCTGTTAGTTTTGCATAATACCTCATGTTTTGCGCAGATTATTTGCTTTTATAGGTAGCCGATACAATAATTCAGTCGAGTTAACAGTTAATTGAACTGGCAAGGGTACCTAAATCTTGCTTAAACGTCGTTTTATACGCCTGCAACTGCTTGTATGGGAATGTAGGTGAGCCGGTGAAATTTGTGACATCCAAGCAGCATTTGGATTGTTCATGAATCATCTCTACTGAGGATGTTCCTTTATACATCTGAGCCGTTTTAATAGTCGGTGACCTTTCCATGAATCAATACTCAGGCATGGCAACTATGAGGGACAAGGTTTTGTCATTAACCATTCCTTTTAGTTACATTTGGATTTACTGCTAAACGCTGATCTACAGAGTACATCAAAAGTCCGGTCGGTTCGCGTGATGAGCAGAAAAGCGACTGACAGTCATCATACAAAAAAGATAAGTGTTTATTTTCTAGTTATATGTTTACACTTGAGCACATCCCATTGGGCTTCGCAAACCTATGTGTTAAATGTCCCGAACAACTACCTAGAGTCGAAACTAAGAGTCTAATTTTATCTCCCACCTGGAGCAAAAATCGTTCCAGTTTACATTAATTTGAAACAAGAAAGAAAAATTTTTGGGGATTTTTGCTCAAGCTTAAACAACTCAGAGGAAAGCAAACAGCACAGCTCAAAATTCGCTCTTGAATATACCTTAATGCTACTGCAAAGCACAGGAAAATATCGTTACCCACTTGAGCCAAGGTCACTCGGGATGTAGCAATCGTCTCGCACAGCCCTAGGGATAACAGGCTCATAATAGAAGAAAACAGGTCGCCAGCTTTTAGTGTTCCTTATTCCCATACGGCAAACAAAGTACATTCGATACTGTAGATGGTGAAATTCAGTGATGAATTTGGGTAGCCATGAGATGAACCATCTGTTTGTTTTGATAGCAACCCATCTAGACACAACAACTGCCGATTATCTATGGGGACCGCTCCGACAGCACCAAAATTACGGTCGATATAGCCACCGTAGTATGACAAATCCCGATATATCTCCGACCAGTTCATGATTACTGAATGTAGCCGCATGTATATCAATAAGCTGTGGTCAACGGGTAAGCTTATAAGCTTTATTTGAAATTTTGTAAGAGAATAAAGCGGTACACAATCTGAGATTAACTACTAACGTTCATCTGGAGTACCAGTGATGCAACGTTTAATGTAGAGTGCACGAAGATTGAAATGTTTCTCTGCAAATGTACACTTGTGAATTTGTAAATTACTCTAGTTAACAACGTAATTCTACAACGAGCGTTTCATTGTTTTGGCGTGCCCTAAACAGACTCTAATGAGCTCTGCCGGACAAATTGCCCAAGAAGTGATATGGGGACTTTTTGGGCGCATCGGATGTGCTTCTTTGGTGAAAAAAACGAAGTATTTAGGGGTCTGTTCGCTGATCTCAGTAGTTAGTCTGCCACCAGCACTTGAAGAGACATGACGATGCACCAGACATAATCAATAATTCAGTTTCCGAGGGCACACCAATATGAACTTTTTTCTATCAATTTCTATCGATTTCTCAGTTGGAAGTTTCAATCATCGGGTAAATTCCCATTTTTCTTTTGAGCTACCTTTGAAAACTTCGAACCACTGAGGCACCCGCAGGCACCGAATTCCAGCACCAAATTAGCTCAACCTTAATAGCGTTATAAGGTACTTCCTACATATTCTGACATGTTCGATACCTGCCACTTTATTTTCGTTTGCTACCCAAGTTCAACTGGCTGCGCCAACATATACGATCCCCTTATGTTAGACTTCGAACTGTTTATCCTACTTCCGAAGCCGTAACTTCGAATGAGAACAGGAATATTTGGTAACTCTACGACCAAGGTATGCGTAGCCGCCAACAACAGTGCTGTAAGGGATCCTTAACCGAGTAACGTGTTTACTACATCATATGACCGATGAGCGCACCAGAGCTGTAAATCAGGAGCGTGATTTGTTCATAAATCAGGGGCTGCGAGAAACCCAAGGAATACAGTGTGACTTTTGTGAAATGTGGTGAAGCACAGGTAAGGCCATACAAAGCAGACCAACTCTGCAATAACCACTATCTTTTTCCTCACCCACAACTTACAAAGATCAGCGAATGGTAGTTGCAACGCATCGTCTGAAATCTTGAGTGTCTGGATCACTTTCTTAGTCATTATGTAAGAATCCGTCTTTCCCGACAGTGTTCCTCAGCAAAAGGTAGCGGGCTAAACAGCCGACCCTGACAATCAATAGTTTCCCACATGTTTGTGGTGTCCACTTTAAGCGTTGTTTACAACAGCTGCCGCTGCTGGTTCCTGCCACGATGTGCTTGATCAGTCCTTAATTCCCAACATGCAAGCCAGACCGGGCTAAATGCAAACAGGTGCAGTCAGGCGCACAGAGAAATGTGAGGGATAATTTATAAGGGATTTGAATCCCCCACACGAAATCTATAGTTATTTTGCCTGCTGTCTAACCTCTTGCTTGGCGAGGTGGTCACAGTCGGAAATATGTTTCAAAAATACCTCTAATGACTGTGGTGAACAAACTGTTCAAATGGTCTCAATACCTAGATCGCCAAACACATCAGCAGTCACCTGTTCAGAAACCAAAAACTGGGATCCCGGTTAAATTGTGACCACTTGCTTAAAACAAGTCCTTTGGCCTGCAAGACATTTTGGCACATTGATAGGTGGCTAGTTGTTCTGCTGAACAGACGGGGTGGCCGATTTATTACCAAGTTGACATTTACCAAAATTCTAATAATACATCAAACATATTGTTACATAGCTGGTGATTAGGCCAACAGCAGTTTACCTCCAGCAAAATAGAAAAAATTGCAGCCAGATTCCGATCGCTCCTGAGATCGACAAACATCAGAATCCCACAGTTTGTGAGGTGTTTGGAGGTGGGGGTACACATTTTTTAATGACACAATCGTTTTCTGCCAGATATGATTTAGCTGCCAAATACTACCGCCAGATTCCGTCTTTATAACACATATTCCGGTATCAAACATCGTACGTTTGTTTCACTATGGGATGCTTTTCTGGTGGAATACCCGTACAGGCGATGTCCTCGAAATGTTTTAAACAGGTCTGCATTTAAAAGGATACCATCGCATGAGCCTCAACCCGATGAAGTTGTTTTCATTGAACGTGTCTTCAAATCAGATGCTAGACGGTATCAGTAATAGTGACAAAGGGAAATATGTCGTAAAATCTGCCAACGCGCATTGAAAGCCTTTTTTAACTCTTGAACTTAACGTGTGGTAATATTACGTTATTGCAGGGGCCCTACTTGTACGTAAAATGATTTTCCGCTCCACAATCGGCCGCAGTTTTTTTACCGGTACATTACCAGCATAGAGGAACCGTGATCCTCAACTAGCACCTCGAATGACTCTGGGAGGAAACTTAGTAGCTCTGTACAAACATTGCCAATCTCATGTATCATCTTCAAAAGACCAACCGATCACTCTGCTTTGTGAGCTCTCCTAAGAAACGGGTCAGATTTTGAAACGGAATGGCACATTGGGCGGTTTTTTGTTGCAATATTCTTTGTATTATGCGAACATGAGTCTATTACCGCTTGGACAAAGACCCACATGATACGCATTCATTCTAAAATCTATAACAATACCTAGAAGGTGCATCGAGTGTTTGATGAAATGTGATAAACTGATTCAGAACAGTAACTTCACGTAATAAGGAAATTACAGCTTCCTTGGTTTTATTAAATTTCGTAATCAAAAATACAAACTGTCTAATGAAGCCCGACAATAAACTCGGAGGAAAAAAGGGCTGACTATTGACCCTAAAGAGGTAATATCAGCGTAACGGTGGATACTACTGATGAGGCATGCGAGTAATATGTTTCCTCGTAAATCCGCTTCGCGTCTATTGGAAGGTGGATTTATTACAGTATTCGTGGAATCGCTTTGTGTCATTCGCTTACATTTGACAACTAGTAAATAATTATTCTGGAAAGTTCAGGGAGGCTAGTTCAAGAAGAAGACGGAGATTCACCTTTTAAAAACAGGTTTTTTATGGCGGGTAGGCTTTCCTGTCCAAAAGTCTGTAACCGGAAAGTTGGTGTTTCCTAGTAAACAACTCGGCAGCCAGGGCCTTCTTATTGTTTGGTGACGTGACAAGGATAAAAATGAGGATCCCATGGCCACAACCCTTTAAGGATGGGGATGTTCGGACCTTCGAGGGTGAAGGACTTCGAGGAGGGTGCGGAAGCTCCTCGACTGGATACCGACCAGCGGTGCCGAAGACCCTCCTCAAAGGCGGTCGACAGCGGTCCTGGATGGTTCCAGAAGGGGCCCTCGATAGATGGACTGGGCCACCCTGAGAAGAAAGCTCTTAGAGCGGGTTATGCGAAAACATGCTACTCGCGTGTCTCGTCCGTAGTATCCACCGGTATATCAGCACTGGCGCGCCATATTTGCGTACGATTGCTCAGACAAGTATTTTAGCCAGCCAGAGTAGATTACCATAAACAATATTCTAAATAAAACATATCTTTGTAGTCTTTTGAATAGTTTAACCAGGTTTGTTGACAAAATCCCTAATGGTAAGCCCATCCGAATCGTGCAGTTAATATTTCTCTCAAAGTAAATATGCCCAGCAATTACACATTATGTTTTTTACTCCTTCCATTGGTTTAGACACAAAAAACTCATATTTTGAGTTAACAAGACAAGACCACTGAAACTTTCACACACTTTTCATATCTGCATGCACAGGCGCATTGTAAATAGAAAATGCAATGAACTGTAAGGAATCCATTGTGAAGGAATAATGATAGAGAAAGATCAAAAAGATGACCGTCATCTCTGATTCGACGAGTTTTGCTGGCCAATAAGGTGCCTTCTTTATAGAGTGTCATCCATTCACATAAGTAACGGTGAGATGGTCACAAAATCCGAACATGGGCGGAATTGCTTAGAAAATAAGTCTAATATGTTTCTATGCAAGAAACTGGAGGCGTTCTTGCGATAAATAAGATTGATTTCCAGAGCGTGATAAAAATTAGTTCGGGTCGTTTCTGGCGACCGGCGAAAATCAAGTGTTTGGGGATGCTCTGGTATTGGTGCAGAGATTTTTTTAAATTAGATGGAACTTAATGTTAAAGTGCAACGGAAAACGACCTAACGATAAAAGTGGCACCTTGTTTGTTTAACGAAAGCGTGAGATGAATTCTTCGTCACTTAAATAAAGGAAAAAGAGGAGCGAAAATAAATGACGGCTCAAAAGATGGCGAGAAGTGTTCTTGAGGAGAGAAGATAAGACATCAGTAGTGTGTTTGTGCGCTCCAGTCACCATCCAGCAACAAAGCCAAGTTGCAGAACCACATACCGGAAACCAGTGGACGCATTTCTTTCAGTGCATGTCGTTGATGTGTCTCTGGGCACCAAATGACATACCAGCTTGAGATGCGACCTGGCTTTGCGCCAGACCCATCTGAAGTCCGATTACCGAAGCGCCTTCCTGCGACAAATTATCGCAGCGAATGTCAGCGATATGACGTTGTGCACCCATGCGCATGCCCTTCTGGCTAGCCAGTTTGTTTGTGCCATATTGGAGATTGATCACACCCTGGCCCTCTTTGGACATGTCGTCGCAGCGAATGTCAGCCACATGCCTACTCCCGCCAATTCGCATGCCCTGAGAAACAAATAAAGGGTATTTTGAAGTTTCGGGCCATTGCAGCTCAACCCTCTTGTGAATGTGATACTTTCAAAGGATACCGCTTACATGAAACAGTCACTTTAGTCCAGGGACTGAAGCGCACATTTTCATTCAAGTTGAGGGGACTATGCTTTAACCAACGTATCTACTGACAGGTGCGTTTAGCTTCAACAGTATACCAGAAATGAATATTGTCCGTTCACTTTAAACTTATCGCAATTTACCGTTGAAACTAAGGTAGTTTATAGGATGTGGATTTCAAACGGATACACCATTGAAGCAAGTGATTGTATCGTTGAAGATGTTTGCATTAGTTGGTATGAACAACATTCGGTTATCCAACAGAAACAAGAACGGCTGGCAACTAATGTTCTATTGCGGTTCTCGCCTTGTATATGAAAATAAATGCATGCTCAATAGCAAACAATTACTTTGCGGCTTTTTCAACTTTCTCGTGCATTAACGACCACGGACCCTCCAACTTATTGGAACAGTTAAGTACCATTCAATCAAGAGTGGTCGAACTCTGGTGTGGTTCACTAGCGCTTAGAGACGGTAGCATCATCGCTCTTCTGCGGCTTGGTTAGCTCCGTAGGAGTTGGATTTGGCGTAATCAACGAGTAACGTTGTTTCAGATGGAAAGACCATATATCCAGTCAGATTTTTCATCTAACTCGAGTAGATTAGTTGAGAAGAGCTTGAGGGATTATTGAGTCTCAAGTAGCTTCGAGAAATTCCGTTCGGCCGGCTGTTACTGTCAGATTATGGGTGAATATGGCTGAGAGACGTAACAAATGAGCAGGAAACCACAGGTCGAGGTGCGAACTGATTTAAAGAGCACAAAGATTAGCATCACCTGTCAGTAAGGTCCGGGGCACCGGAATTTCCTTCTAAATCACAGATAAAATTTACATGGCAAAACGAAAGACAAGGGAGAAATATTCATTCGAGGAATGCAGTTGGGGTACGAAAATGGACAGGAGTAAGGTAAGATAAGATACGACGTTTGTAACATCGTCAAAACACTGGGTATTCTCGGTGCTTTCCCTATAAATGGGCGTGGGGATAAGAAGAGTGCCAGAAACCCCATAATTGACACCGATTTTCACCACTTCAATGGGTGTTACAACAATTATGTAATAAACAGTGGCAGAAAACACGACTATCCGTCACCATCCGCATCATATTTTTCCGAAGACAGAACTGACGTAGATACTGCGAATGTGTATTATGCACAGAGCGCATTGTCACGTTTTTTCAGCAACAACTGCGGACATGCTCAATCAGCCGAGGGAGTTAACTCTCGCATCTGTGTGTGACGCGAATTAGTTTACTGTTTTAACAGTCTGAATTTTCTGTAGAAAGTCACGTGTGACACGATAACTATCTAACTGGAATTCGCAGGCCATCTTTGACTAAACGAATCGACTGTGGTCTGGTCGATAAACAGTTAGATAGGACTGTTAGCAGTAGTGAGTGACGATCCATCTAATCCCAACAAAAATAGAACTCGCACTTGGATGTGTACACACGTCTAAGTAATTTGAACAAATAATAATGATGCTTCCCCAAAACTCTCCTTGAGTTAGGACCTCCGCATTATTCGTGAAACCAGTCGCTTCTGTTTAGTTCAGGTAATCGACTACCAGATCATTCAGATCCCTCGAGATTTCTAAAACAATAAGTGAACGCTGACATCGTTTGCGACGTGAAATCATCATTTTTTAACATACAAATTCATATTGAAAATTCAACTACGGTGGCGACAAATTACACCTTGACGATGGTGACAGAAGTTCCGAGCTCGTTACGTGAACAACTTTTGTATGGTCTCTTAAACATGTCAGATGTGTTTGTAAACACCCCTCGCCTCATTTCCCTTAATTCTACGTCTTCCAGCGTTGAAACACAAGCGCTCATGCTGCATCAATGGATATTCCCATGGTGTTTGTACCCAACAAAGTCGGTAGTTTTCTAGAGGCTTCGAGCTTCAACAAAGTTTACAAGTTTCTTGTGGTTCAAACGAAATAACCAGATTCAATAGAAACACCTACTGTGTTGCTTTACTTATAAGAATAACAAATCATGTTTAGTTCTTCCAATCACTTCTATTGCTACACTTCTAAGAACAGACTCATTGGGCCCCTACCGATTGGTCTGATGAAAACCCCTACCAACATGAGTAGTTTCACTCGTTTTGACATACCTTTTGTGAAGCAAACTGATTGGTGCCCATTTGCAAATTGATGACAGCCTTCCCCTCCTGGCTGAGGTCATCACATCGAATATCGGCAATGTGACGTTGGGTGCTGAAACTCATGCCCTTCTGTGAGGCAAATTTGTTGGTACCCATTTGCAAGCTGATGACAGCCGCACCTATAAAAGTAATGGAGCACATTGAATGCAATTAAAATAAATTTGAACTCTGCATTTTTTGTGTTCCTTTATGGTAACGGATGTCTTTTGTGTAGAAGGCCCCTCAAAAAGTACGAAAAATGTAAGAAACTTATCCGAACCTATTGGATTTAATTGCCTCTGTTTAAGATAAAATATTTACATTCTTGGGGCGTGGTCACCTTAGATTGCTACAAACCACGCATATCAAGCATCACAGAGGTAGGTTGATTTGATTGTCCCCCAAGATGAGCTTTCCTGAGCTGGTATACATTTTGCTTTGGATTCCCGCAGCACTCCAAGGTCTCACTTGATGCGTCTTCAATGGTGATTAGCATCCCGTATACAAATACTCTTTCGAAATGTGCAACAGTTCAAAAGACGCAAAGAAATGTTTTAAACGCTTTGCTGTTATTCGTGGACGCAGGAACTTTCTGTGCCTAAAAAATCGTTGAACTACGCGGCGAATCGGTTGAAAGTTAACCTTACAATCAGAAAAGTTCAGGTAGTTGACAGTGGCGTAAGTCAGATTCCGTGGTTTAAAATTGTATTCTCGACTACATTTAGTAACTTAATCTAGGTGATAGGTAACCTTATTTCGGTGACCTTATTTCGTTGTTCTGTGAAGGGTATTGTAGACGATACTTTGGTTATCGTATTTATCGCCTATTGTGACAACTTTGTTCTTCCTCAGGTATTTAAATGCCATATTGTGTCACGCCCCACCAAAAAACGAACTGTTAACCCGTTTGTCGTATGGCTGAAATCGGCCAATCGATTGACCCAGTGAATAAAATCCTGGCCGAATTAAAAAAACTTGATGGCAAGCTTTTCCATGCAATAAGTGGGAAACACATAAAGCATAAAGGCGCTCCTGGTGGGTATAACTTATCAAAGACGTCATACACTCTGAACCATGCGCAATTTTTCTACATTCCATCAGTAAAGTTGCGCAGCAAGTCAAAAGTGCCCATCAGTATTTTGTGCATGATTCTGCTGGTGAAACGCGTGAAAAACCAAGTGAATCCAATAACCCATCGTTTAGGAGGAAAACTGGAAAACTTCACCGTCGTTTCTGGTATTGTGTGTTGAGAATCGTTCGCTAATTGGTCTGTGAAACAAGCGTCAAAATTGATTTAAGGAACAACCAGCTGAGTGCGGGTGTTATCTATAAATTGCTTCGTGCAAGGAGGATCAGTTGGAGACCTCTGACTCCAAAAATTTCTATGCTACTCTTTTAGCTGAATTTTTATTATCTCTACTACATACACTGCTTTCTTTCAACGTTTGACGTTTCACGGGAACCATGAAACGAAATTAGCTTGTCATCCGCGACATGAAATCCTCAAGACAAAGAATGCGGGTTGGCCAAGAAATCTTGTCAGTATTGAAACAAATTTCCAAACTGACTGCCCTCAGAAACGTTTTCCTCTACCCAGTCTGCCAGAAATCCTCTTTTCGTTCAGCTCTCTTAGAATCTAACAGCTGGTTGGGGACCAAATTTGATTGGCTATGTGAAGTGTCTTTTAGAGACAAGGGTGGCAGATAAATACTGAATAAGAGACCGTTTAAGGGATTCAGAATGCAGTGAAATATTTTACTGTTTTTTCAGTGTTTTTACTAAGGGAAGGTCAAATTCGAGGTTTAGAGTAAGTAAGAGTAGGTAATATGCAGAACAGCCAAGAAGTAGAAAATTGCCAATTCCGTCTTGCTGGACGCCATTGGAATTGAGAACCCAAAGCTGCGTATTTGGCTTTCAAGAGGCATCATTGTAATCAAAAGGTGGCCTGGTCAGCTGCATAGTAAATTCATTGGTTCATTGCTTAATGCGGCTCTTCCTTGGCTGGGAAAAATGTATCCTTGTAAATTTCATCTAGTACCTCAGTACTTTGCCAGTTCCCAGACGATCTCCACATCTCATGAGGAGACAAATTAAATGAATGAAACCTTCTACTTGGACCTTCCAAGTGAAATGAAGTTCAAGTCTTCCCTAACACGCTTGTCAATGAATCGCAATAAAGAACAATAATCTAGTTTTAAAACTGCCCAATTGGATTTGCAAGCAAAAGGATACCTAATGTTGCTTTCACGGCCTATCATATTTGAGTTGAATGCGCTGATTAACTGACGATGGTTGTTGGCCCGTAACTTTCTGCCAGCCCAGAGGAACTTTGAAAAACTGTTGGGGATATCAACAGGCAAATCGAATGAATAGGTTTAACAGAGGGAGTCTAGTTCCAACGAATCTACGATCAGATAAGAAGCACATCCATGTCGTACATTAGGCTCAAATATACTCCGATAAACTGACATTTTTGAGGCGGGTCACACAAATAAGGTGCCTGAAAAAGATTTGAAGTAGCCGAACGAAATACGCTATGTTTTTATGAATAACTAATCACCATGATAGGTTGATCTATCCATTCTGTTTTAGTGGAGACTTCTCCATGTTGCTTTGTCTTTAAGCCTAAGTAAAACCAACATATTTAATTTTCCTTAGTTTTGGGAACCTGTTTCCCGATTTATCTGATACTACACCACAAGCCACTTAATTTCACATCTCACCTTCTGGAGTCATATTGTCACACCGAATATCAGCAATGTGGCGTTGACCACCGAAAGACATGCCTTTCTGTGAAGCCAGTTTATTCGTGCCTGCTTGCAATCCAATAATGCCTTCTCCAGCTCGGAGCTGATCCTCAGACCAATGACGAGGATTCGCGTTGGTCGGTTTCGGTCCACAAACGGGTCCTTGGAATCCATTTCTCTGACACTATTTTGCAAAATTGCAACCAAAATGCATTATAAAAATGCTATGAGAGGTTGATTTGTGAACGGTCACCTAGATGCATCATGCCCCTGAATGAGAACTCTCAATTTTCAGGATTTTCTACACATTCATTTCCATTAGTTTGTCTTGCCTTGTTCTTTAAGTTATGAATTGTGCTTTCGTCATTTGAAGAATTGAGCTTGATTTTATCGGTTTCACTTTTAAAAAAACTTTCTAGACAAACATGCAAATTAACTTTTCCAAAATTAACAGTTCACCTACGTAGTCCAGTCCTTCGAGGTCTTCATCAATAATAGTTAAAATTAACGCACGTGGAATAACTCTCAGGTGCTAGCCCTATATCGTTTGAAATTGATGTTTGGTATGACAACTCACTTACCTCAGTTCCTAGTTGAAGCAAGGTCGCGAGCACTTGTGCCATATTTCTTGCCTCGTACAAATCCACAGTTTGGAAGAGACAATCTCGTGGAACACCGTAGGCTTCACAGCTGTCCAGAAACTTTTGAATATTTTCCATCTGCGTATCAAAGAGAAAACCATGCAATGGATTTAAAGAACAGCACCTGCGTCTGTGCACTAGGATGAGTGGAGTCTCTGCAGATTGCCTATTTGTCGGATGCACTTTCTCAAGAGACACTTTTAGTTTTTCAAATAGACGTTCAATTCAATAAGCATACAGGCAAAACAGCTACCTACCCATAGACCTGGCGCTGTTGTCAGTTCAGTCAAAAAACCAAACAACCTCATATGTAACTCGGATAATATCGTTTGAATGCACCGGTTTCCCACACCGACTATCGGCCAGCTGGTTCCAAAATTCACCCAGTAAAACTGCACGAAGGTATTTCTGATACCTCCAAATGATGTAAGAAAATAGGGCAGTTTACTGACCTGTTTGAAGGGAGCATTGCCAGCGTTTGGTTTGATTGGGCGGCGGACCATCTGGGCACGAGGAGGCAGATTAGGTGTCCGATCGTAAACAGCGCTAATCAGGCTTTCGGAAGGTGGAAGGAAACACATCGGAATGGGTAGTTTAGAATGAGTCACTCGTTGTGGGGAAAGTAAACTAACCTGGAACTTGTTGAAGATGTTCGTATGTAATTCTAATAGCATTCCGTTAAGTTTTGGTTTTAGCTGAACACACAAACACTTGGAGACAAGCATAAACAGATGAAGGGTAAAGTATCAAATTGAAGTGAAGGAGAAGCAAACATATAATAACCTCTTAGTTTAAAATCTGGTCGACAACAGCTCGTGAGCTTAAAAATCATCGTAGCTCATGTCACAAACAAAATCAAATTCCTAATCAGGTTGACCAGAGATTCTATCTTATTCTTGTACAAATAAAAGGCCACTCAGGCAATAAGCAAATAAATTCGCCATTCTCACCATCGACTACAGTACACCAGTGTTTATTGAGATACCGCAAACGCAATTTGAATTTCATCGCACAGCCTTAACGACTGTGCATATTTCGCTTGTTTAACATAGAGTTTTGGACATCAAAAGTTAGGGAATGCATGTAAAGTTTTAGCAAGAACTCTGGCAACTGGCCTTATGAAAGACAAAACGCTCAAAATAAACTGCATTACTATGGTTCGGATCCTGAAACACCTTCACCGTCTGCATCGATTAGCCTGGCTTAAATCAGCTCAGTTTTGTCGCCAAAGGTTACAACCTATGGAGTTTATGGAACCACGTAGTGTACAAAAATTTGAAAAACATTAACCGAACTTGGTAGGGGCGTCTTGAAAACTTTTGAAGCCATACAAACCGTTTTTTCCTGTGCTAAAGCACGTGTTCGATTTTGTGATTGGACTAACATAGATGAAAAATTTGCCTGCCTTAGTGCAGATAACGCAAGCTATTGGGAAGTAACTTACAGTACTTCGTCTAAAGGATTCCTTTGGGCTAGTATTAACGTCGGTATTATAATGCCTGTAATCCGATGACTTTGTCAGGCTCATATTCATTTAAATCTATTGTGCTAATTGTCGGTAGCCTAGCGCTAGCCTAGTGCTTGCATCGGAATCTGTCAGGTTGTTTGACTGGTCCGTTGAGCTGACTTGTGAAGGGAGGATTCGTTGGTTGAGATATTTGCCACTTATTTGCTCAGTAGCATTTTTCGCGTGTACTAGGTAACACATTGTGACGTCATCTGCTCCAAAGTACACACTTTTATAAATTATTGACACTCAAAAATCCCCAATTTATGTCGGAAAATCCGCACCCAGAGGACTTGTCGTTTGGATAAAATAATATTTGTTCCTAAGGCCCTATTGTTATTCGCTGACAAAGTTGACATTTTAGAAACCTGTCTTCTAACGACAGGCTATTCAGTTTGGCAAATTATTTTTTTAGCGTTATTTCGACGTAACCATTGGTTTTTCGACAAGTACACCTTTTGCTTTCAGTGAACGTGCAGATCCTTGTTCAGGTACCAGCACGATTGGGTAGTTTCTAAGTGAAAACATCCCGGAATCATTAGTAGGCAACTCTCAGTACAGAAAAGTAGTGTGGCTGTATTCCTTTGGCCTCCGTGTCCATCCAAGTTTCATTTATTTGTTTAGGTAGATGAGAAAAAAACATCCCGGAATCATTAGTAGGCAACTTTCAGTGCAGAAAAGTAGTGTGGCTGTATTCCTTTTGCCTCCGTGGCCATCCCAATTTCATTTTTTGTTTAGGTAGATGAGAGACTGCCGATATGTATATGAAACTCCCTGCGTCAACAATTTTTTGCATCACAGCAAAATCAAGCCATTCAAAGTTTCTTCACTTACCTGACGAATACATTTCGACAATATAGTTGTAAACCCGTCACGAATAGCTTAACATTAATACAGGAGAGCAACCCATCATGGAAAGCAGTATGATCGAATAAACTTCAAGGTATCCCCGTCCGCACATTTTATTTAGTTGCATTTGGACCTCATACACCGCATACATGTGTGGGTAGAGACACTTTGAATTAATCCCATCTCGTCCTATTTTCCAACCACTGTTAAGGCACAATCCTCCCATTACTCTGAGTTCACTTGACCCCAAAATTCAGCGAGTAACTTAGCAGGACGTATCCTGCGCGGCACACACGGTCTTCACAATAACCTCACTTATCTTTCCAGCACTCTCCGCTGCGTGCTTCAATTCAAACAAGAAACCAGCACCAGTATAGTCATCGACTTCTGAGTGATCAATGGAAACTTCTAACTTCCAAAACCTCTCAACGACAGTTCAGTCGCGCTAAGGTTTTATTAACGTATCTCGTGAACAAAGTATCACGTGCCAAATCATTGTTTTTTGCAAGTAGACTTAAAGAACAAATGCAGTGCCGTTTTTCTGGGTAAAATTAGCATGGATTTCTTTCGTTTTTCGCAATTTCTGATCAGCACCGAAACTAAGGAGCACTTAACTATGCTTACCTTTTGCTTTGTCTACTGCACTCTTGATCTGCCCCTACCTGGTTTCTTCAATAATCCTAGGTGAAGTGGTACAGTTCTACCTCTTTCAAACCACTGCAGCTTGCCAGCTGAGATTAGGAGGCTGATTTACAAACCAACTCGAATGAAACTGCCGAGAAACCTTTCGTGAAGGTTTGCTTTTCTACTCACACGAGTCTTAGCGGCTGTATCGGAGCTCCTTCATAAATCCGTTATTTCGCATACCGTTCTCTCACTAAGGCAGTCCTAGCATAAATGAGGAAGGGTTTTATTACCAAGGTTAGGTTCTCTAGGCGAAGTGAAATCCGAAGCGGAACCTTAGTTTCCTGGGGCTTCTCAATGTTTTATCCTGCTTGTTGCGCACTCTGCATGTGCAACATATTTCTTACTAAAAAAATATGACATTACAGAGTACTCGATCCGTTATTGTAAACTTCAATCTTATCGTATCGTCAATTCTCACCAGATTTACACTGGTAAAGAATATACAATTCAGTATGATAATATAGCATGAAACTCATCTTCAGCTCTACACTAAGTTAATATTGTGTGGATAACACTCCACTTGTGATAATGGCTTATTTGCGCTGTTTCCGGAAGTCCTGTAGAAAAAGCTAATCGAATTCTACGACGAGTTCTGGGCACTTTTTCCGAAAGTCATTCTCCTCTACTATACATTCGCGCAAGTTTATTTAGGCTATCTTGCATTCTGCTCGCACATTGGTAAGAAAAATAATCGATCATTTCAAAAACCGTAAAAAAACGCAAAGCAAAACCAGTCCAGTGGATTCGATTGATCCTTATTTGTGTGCTTTTGCACTCTACGCGTAATGGAATCGCATCCAGGTTCGTCCTTGTTTCCGGATATCCCATAACTTATCCACATGAAGAATGACCTTCTTGTCGAGTTGGGTAATACCGGGGGGGAGGAATCAATAGTTTGCTTTTTCGCTCTATTTGTAGCTCAGTAGAATACTTCATCGTACTGTATGCATTTACGTGTACCCAATTAAGATGAACGTTTTCAACTCTATCAAAACACTAGGAATTGAGCTCAAAACAAAAATAAACCAAAACACCAGAGCACAGTGTAAGAGTTGAATGGTGCAAAAGCGGGTATATTATTCCGGACATTCTATCCAGGGTTCGAAAATCTCGCTTTACGGCAGCTTATTACTGCTGCTACAAAAGGTAGGTTCATTGTCGCAACCAACGAATTGATTTAGGTACTTTTGATTATCATTCTTCGCTGCAAGGAATTCTTTTTTGTCGCCGAAACAATTACAATACCAGGTCTAAACACCAGATGTTGTTTGAGACAAGATACTTACGCAACCAGTATGTGTCCGTTTTTCAGGGTACGTTGCACATTCTCGCGGCCCAGAGGTATGGTCTGTCCGGTTAGTTGATTCACCCATCCAATGACTTGCCGTTCAGCATCTGGATCGTATCGGCTGTTAAGCTGGAATAGAGGTAGACGAAAGCGCATAGTTCACTTGATTTGTGGACTCCAGAATCTACCAATAATTCACGGTTCGTCTAGGGGCTGCACCCTCCAAGAAGGGATGCTTTATTTCGAATCAGTGTAAGTTGAGTGTCAATATTTGAGTTTCTAAAACAGTAAACGAGCCCATTCTATTCCCTTTCTCAGGGGAGTTTTTGTTCCCAATCAATTTGGTTGCCTCGTGATTCAATGCACTCAGTCTACAATCCCGTCCGTATAGTCACTTTCATTAAAAAAAGCCTAGAAAACTTAGCACGACTCTGAGCATCCATATCCCACAACAGTTTGACCTTCTAACCGTAAATTGTTGAAACCGTCCGTATAGTCACTTTCATTAAAAAAAAGCCTAGAAAACTTAACACGACTCTGAGCATCCACATCCCATAACAGTTTGACCTTCTAACCGCAAATTGTTGAATTCTTTGTAAGCAGGAGCGAAACAAGTGATGTTTTTCCGAAGAAATGTTTTAGCTGCGTTACTTTTATTTTGAAATAGATATTTTGATCTCGACAGATTCAAAGATAAGAACGCTGAGCTGAAACCTAGATCTGTGAAGAAAGATAAGATGGTAATTACTAACCCTAAGTTTCAAGGCTACTTCACACAAAGTATCTGTAAGGTTTTGATGGAGTTCTGTGTTTCGAATGCTAACCACCATACAAATGTTGGATCCGTGAGGGCAGCTGAACCGGAGAGATACAAGAACAAATGGATCCTGCAGTCACAATACTCAGGTGGTGGGTATCCGGAAAATATTTTTATTACCTTCCATACCGCTTTGGTTTTATAATGTCTATATAAGTTTCCTCTTTCGTATGGCACTTTAACTGTGTGAAAATAGTCACATAAAGAACCGAAAATCCGCTTGACTGTAAAACAACTTGCAATGTGTATCAAATCCACACTAATCCTAAAAGCTTATGTATTAATAGTCATTCACCTTCCTTTAATTATCAGCTGTTTTACTCATTGTTATTCACGTAGTTGACACCCAACGTTAAAGTTATGTATATATGGATTGTTATCTGAAGCTTTGGGGTCGTTGCACTCTTAAGAGGAATTTCCTTGATAACGAACGAAGGTTGTCATTAATCATGACACACGTTGTTTGGAAAACAAGTCTGGGCAGTTCCTGTCAGGCTGCCTCACTATTCAGATCCAGCGCTGTACAGGCTACACGAGTGAATGCCCGTTATTGTAGAATGGGCTCGGAATGCGGTTAAGAACTTGGGACCAGAGAACGCATTGATATTTGTTTTAGTGACTCCCAGTGATGTCTTTAGTGTCTCTTGGTGTGTGAGGCGTCCAGGATTTCATAAGAACACTGTCCCTAGCATCGACATTATTTTCAACGTTTAGTCACGTGGTGATGGAGTCTAGAGCTCCGTAACGTCTTTCACGTTTCTTAAGTGACCTAGAGCACTGAAATACTGAGTGTTAGAGTCGTTACCCGCCAGCAGTCAACATCAAATGGGATTAGATTCTGAATTAACTGATCTCCACCTAAACATCCACAACTTAGAGTGTTCAAAAATTCAAGACAATCGATAGATAGATATAACTAGTTTTTCAGCCAATAGAAGTGAAAGGAGAGTTGCTCTTGAAAAGGTCAATTTTGTTATTTGCCACATGTATGTCATCCTTGTGTGACAAACAGATATCCGGGAGGCACACTCCACTCGATCTCCGCATTTCAGGAACCCATAACTTAGTCCCGGTAAAAATATCCATGGAATATTCGCGTTACAACTATGAGGTCCTAAGTGAAATAAACTAGAAGTATTTGGTTTACACGCGAGACTCAATTGAATCTCTAGTTTATGATGTCCTCCAACTGAATGTGCTGCACACAGGCCGCCTCATGATTCATTTGGCACGATATTCAACATATCGCAGTATAGTTTCAGCTGGAGGAAATCATAAACGAGAGATTCAATTGAGTCTCGCGTGTAAACCAAATACTTCTAAAAATTTGGTTCAAGTAGATCCTAAGGCTGACGGAAATTCGGAGACTGCGCCTATCTGATGAGCCCCAAGAAGGACGAAACCGGTTGTGGGCTGTCAAAGAGTTTTCAGCAACCTTGTGAGTAGTTTCCATTATGAAAACTAAAAGCATATAAATATTTGCACAAAATTAGGAGCCCCTTATGAAAAGCTGTTGTAACAACAAATGGCCCACTGCAACTGATCAGCACGATTACCAGAAATCAAGTAGGTCTAAATTTTATCCGGTATCACCCTGGAAGTTCGTTTCATGTGAATCCAAAATGGACTTATGACAAGCCTTGTAGTGAACATGCTTCATGAACATATATGAGATCACAGTCACACTAACAGAACACAGGATTGCATGTTTATTTCCATCAGTGTGTATTGAAGGACATTATATGAAATTTTTCTACTGTAAACCTAAACAACTCTATTCTTCTCTACGCTAGCCTAGACGTAACATACTGAATATTTTTGAGGACACATTCCTATCTGCTTCCAACATGATTTCATGCTATACAAACAGATATTGTTTGGGACGTCACTTGCAAGACCGTAAAAAACCGTGAAGCATGAAAGCTGTTTCATTTCTGCACAAATACTAGAAGCTGCAGGATAGGTTCCAATGAAACCTAATAATAGATAATTACATCAAGGTTTCCTTGTTATTAAATCACTTTCCAAAAATTTTATTCTGTAGTTTGTACGAAAGATGATCGGACGTTGAAACTTGATTAGCTTTTCCAACATCTGTAATTTAAAATATTGACAAAGTCAAAAAATGGAATCAGGGATTTCATCCCAGGTTAGATAATCTAAATCATTAACAAACCGGGCAGTGAAGCTGCGGCACCCAGTACACGAGTCTGTAGGCGCCAAATGACTAATGACAATATTTCGCCTAGATTACAGGACAATCTGTGACATGTTCCTCACGAGAACAAAACCACTTATCTCACGGTTTACGACAACCAAATTGAAACTCACACGCAGTGCTTTGAGTGAAACGATGATATCATCCTCTGCCATCTCATCACACCAATCCAGCCGGTATGTGAACTGCCCTCAGTGCAAAAGACGCTGCTGTTTTGCCGGTCACTATTGCACACAAACAAACACGTGGCACGCGCGAATGGGAATGGATCATGCGGACCGTACACGAAATACCTGATCGAAAATCGTTTGCGTGTACGGCTGCGGTTACCGTGAAGAACACAGCTTGTGGTTCGTACAAACTTATCACGAGCTGATTTATCACCTTCGTCAGGCATGTGTACGGCACCCATGCTTCACCTCCACGGTGAATTGTTGAAAAACTTCCCCCTGGATAATTGTACATTGAAATCTATCGTTCTCGTTGGTACTGAAATGGTCACCGCTCTGAAACCTTCTGAAAAAAGTTGAATCTATGTTGGATTATTTTGAATAAAGATGGAGTACAACTACTCTCTATGTCTGTAGACCTAGAGAGATCGTTGGTTCCATATATTCAAAACAGGTAGATAAATGGGTTATCATGGCTTAGACCTTAAGCACTCACAGTGGTGCAGTTAAGTGGGCTTCTGAGAAACCCACCCAAAACAACTGGTGTCATCTTTGTTGGAATTCATCAGACTTGTATGCGGGAATGAGATAGACAACGCGTTGATTAACAAATTCGAAATCTTGCTAGCCAACCGACCAAGCCGCTTGGCTGTTAAACACTGTTTCGCACTTACATTTGCACCACAGTGAAATCCGCCAGCTGCCCTAACTGATCGGAATACACGTGATCTGGAGACTTGAACCAAGCCGCCTGGCTGTTAAAAACTGTTTTGAACTCACATTTGCACCACAGTGAAATCTGCCAGCTGCCCTAAGTGATCGGAATACACGTGATCTGGAGACTTGTGCTTGAAACTGTTAACTGATTATTCATGCCAAAATGGNGGTAGATAAATGGGTTATCATGGCTTAGACCTTAAGCACTCACAGTGGTGCAGTTAAGTGGGCTTCTGAGAAACCCACCCAAAACAACTGGTGTCATCTTTGTTGGAATTCATCAGACTTGTATGCGGGAATGAGATAGACAACGCGTTGATTAACAAATTCGAAATCTTGCTAGCCAACCGACCAAGCCGCTTGGCTGTTAAACACTGTTTCGCACTTACATTTGCACCACAGTGAAATCCGCCAGCTGCCCTAACTGATCGGAATACACGTGATCTGGAGACTTGTGCTGGAAACTGTTAACTTATTATTCATGCCAAAATGGTGTGACCCATTTAGGACACAAGCACATGTTTTGGTGTGCCTTTGGGAATCTAAAAACCTTATCAGAAGGAAGTTTCCCCCACATACTGAAATTGCCTTTTCTTTGAGCTGCTTCCTTTTGAGAAATCGTCACTCTCATAGCCACTCAGTAGGTGCCATGTGATGTGGTGCTATGTCCCGTCTGAATGAGAGATGATCACATTGCTGATCAGCATCTCATGACCAAATGGTTAAGTGGATAACCACGGACCGCAACGTTGCGGGATCGAAACTCTCTGATTTTCGCGAGATGAACACTGCCGGCGATTCCTTACAGGGATGAAACAGCTGTACAAAGCATCTTGGTTTGTCAGTCTAGGGTGGCCTTGCTGACAAGATAAAATCTATGTTGGATGTTACCAGATCTTCTCACATCACCACGGAATCTTTGACATGAAGTCTCAAGGTCATATAGTGGGGTAAATGCGCTTCAAATCACTAAAGTGCACGTTTAAGTGTAACGTTGTACTAAACAACAGTTCACTTATCATAGACTCTGCACACAGAAAGGCTCCACCACCTCCGCTGTTCCTCCTTCACTGAAGTGGACAAATCCACGTATCCTTTAGAAACACCGTGCTTATCTGCCATGAAGTAGCGGCATTATGTTTCTGCAGATATCAAACCACCGGAGTTGGAGAGTACCCTGACATATCAGCTTCGAACATTTTGTTCACTGGAATGCGTGCCTTGCTTGTGGCCCACAAATGGCGTTTCAGATTCAGAAATGCTGCTAGTTTGTAGGCAAAAAACGTTAGAACTAAGCTGCTGTGTTATGCAGTCGAAAGTTTCAAATCTAAAGATGGATACAACTATCTGCAACCAAAATGCCTGCATGATGATGGGATTATGATAACATTATTGAGACATTTATTATAAAAACAGTGCAACTTTGCTTAACCTATTAGTCTTTGCAACGGGCCACGTTAGTTGTTCACCAGCGTGTATAAATATCACAGTCTCATGATCTGCTTGATTTATTGCAAAGCTGTTGCTATAATCCGCTAGACATACTTGCATAAAAGATTGACGGAACAAAAAGTTACACAATTTACTCTTTGTCCGATCAACCAATTGCCTACAGACCATTAATTGTGTGAATCCCAACATTCAAGGTTTGGTAGTTTAATAGATTTTGGCGTGGGATCTGACTATTTATTGAGAACTATCTGGAAAACAAGTCGGAATGTGCATGAACTAAAATGTCAGCGGTTAAAACATATGGAATTTGTTCCATCCCATCTGGTTTCTATCATTACCAACAATTAGTTTGTATTAGCCAGAGAGATGTTTCTTGTGATGCGCTGAATTTTGACACTCACAGTCTATGAGGTTATAAAGTGTTTGTTTTCAAATGAAGGGTCTCATTTAAGAAAAACTGCGTGGTAACAAGCCATCAAAGTTTGGTGCTGAATCCGAGGGTTACATTTCATTCATATGGGTTTAATCTCCTGATAAATGACAAACTAATCCGGATTTTTGTAGTTTGTTGATTACGGAGGAGTTACATGCAGAACAACTAGTAAAAGAGTAATAAGCTCATGGTTACGGGTAGTACCGTATTGTGCCACAAGTTTGGGGGTGATACTACTGATGGGGAGGCATGTGAGTAGTTTGTCTACTCGTAAATCCGCTTTGCGCCTCTTGAAAAGTGAAATCTATTGCAGAATTTGTGGAGTCGCTTTGTCGAATTCACTCGAATTTGAGCAACAGTCAATGAATGTCCATGAAAGTCCAGGAAGATGCGTTCAAGAGAAGATGCCTGTTCAGTTTTTGTAAACAAGATGCATATGAGAGTTTTGCTTCCCCATCTAACAGTCCGTAACCGGTCATTCGGCATTTTCTAATAATAAAACTCCGCAGCGAATGCCTTTTTCGTTTCACAAGTGTATACTCAGACCCTGAATTCCACTCCACCAATCACTCGCAAAATGATACCAATTCATCGGTCATGCTTCAGTTAATCAATCCATACGAGGAGTGTATTTTTGGGCGAACTCCTTTTACGAAGGCATTTTATCATAAAACGGAATCCCTGTGACAACTTTAATTCTGACAGCAAACATTTACAGCATACTGTGCGTTTCTTCTTGGATTTCATTCAACAGGCACAACGTGAAGCCCCAAAAGCGGCATATTTTTTGCTGTATAATGATTACTGGGAAATTCAGATGTGTTGTACGATAAACGATTTACCGGAGATCAATGGATCCAATTAAAATCACATGAAATACTCGAGTGATGTTTGTATGTACGAATGAGGAATGTTCTCCCATTCACCGTTAGGAGTGTTGTTTCGCATACTATTCATTCTTAAATACATTCCTAAATACATACATTAAAAAGGTTCGATAATAAACTACGGAAAACGACCAAAATGTTTAATGTGAATAGAATTTCCAGCTGGATGTTTCAATTACCCTATTTTGCCACTTACTCGAATGAGCTTACTCTAATCCAAATACACGCGAATTGAAAGAAGCCTACTTGCACCTTAGCCAGTAGTACGACTATCATGATTTTTACGTTCATCTAAAGTGTCTCCCTAAATATATTGTGGAGCCTCAGGAAACGTCTCTTAACAGATTTCGTTTTGTAAGGCAGCATTACTTCACACTATATCGCAGGTCACAAATGTAACACGTATAAATGACAACTTTTTAGGAATTAGCCGATCCACATACAATCATGAGGTTCCGCACATTCAGATGAACAGTAACGAAAGTTACAAAAGGGTCGAAGGACCATGTACGAAAACTACTGGTTTAGGGGTACAGGACGACTGGCAGCCGGTTGAAATTTAGTTGTGCACGGGATGGGAGGTAGATGACTGAACCTGGTCATGTTACGGCTGGCTCTAGCAGTAGGGAGTCGATGAATACGACCTCGCGACACATTGTGGTATCACGTAGTCATTTCTGCCACTTTGAGCAGGTTAGAGTTTACTGTTCATGGTGAGGTGGGTAACATTCTAAAAGTAAATCCAACTAATACAATAGAGTAAATATTGTTGTATGCGCCTAGCTTCCGCTAATTATTATTGCCAGTTTTTATTGTTGCCAATTATTATTATCCCCAATTATTGCATTCAGGATACTGCTTCTCAGTCTTGACACCAACTGGCACAACCTTCGGCTAGTAATTCCAATCTTGTCGTCCGAACTTTTGCCTTTCCACACCCTAAGCATACATCGTATAGTTTCTGACTGCTAGCATCAGCCATTTGATGGCGCCAAAATGGACCAGCTTTTAGTCGGATTGATTGCCATCAGACTGTATGATCGGCTTCTCTCGATGTTTCCGCGCACTTGAAATCCATCGCTTGAACGAAGCAAGCGCCTAAACAGTAAAAACCAGAATCCTCCTCACAAACCACAGTTGCTGCTGTTTGTCCACAGCCAGTGGTATTGGCCTTTGATTCTTAGGCATTACCTATTCTCAGGTCATTATTTAATTGATTATGTGGCATTTCATGTTTGTATGGCTTGCCGGGAAACCACCTTAACTTTTTCTCATCAATACGTGACTGAATGGGAATTTGCGTGCTATTTCTGTCAAGCAGCATCGCGTTACAATCAGCTAAAGCAAAAGCACAAAGAATTAGTTATTAAGTTAGCCGAAATATGCTAAGTTAATGCGAGGGCTTGTACAAATGCACATCTTATGTGCGTGGAAATGTCTCGTCTTTACCACCTTTTTCCTATTCAGACAGCTATCAGACGTTTGAACTTATTCGGGATACTTACGCGGACTCGCCGTGGATCCTCCTGAATGGCCCAACGATAACCAGCTTATGTATTTGAAGGTGTGCCAGACAAGTACACATGACAAAATGATAACCTCCTATTTGAACCGCCACTGTATTCTCCGCGAATGTTAGCTAAAACGAATGCGTAACCAAACAAGGCAAATTGTTTGCGGTTAGCGAGTCTTGCATTTACGGTACTTCTCCACTTAAAACTGGTATTTCAAGAATGAGGAACACACGTTCAGTGAAGCAGAGCATTTTGGACCTTTTCGCCTCCATATACATACAGAAATTTTCTTGTCTAGCTGATCTCGAACCACACCACAAAGTGGTGCTTGTTCTTATGTGGTTCAGTTGACAATAGGCTATTTTGAGTTCACTTGTTATTCTTCAACAAAACCATCATTTATGTTTGTGCTATATTATTGCAACTTGACTAACTGCCATGAAGGTAACAGATTATTCTCTCTTCCAATGATAAGTTGAATGGATAAGTCAACTTATTCATTACGCAAAGAGGTTCAGGACACAAAATTTGGATTCGGCGATTCTTATCGGTTCTTACCTTTCTGGGCTTTGTTCACTGTACCGGTTTTGAGCATGGACTCTTCCGCTATGGAAGTTGGCGCAGCACAAAAAGCGCGCAAACATCTCGAAAGGTTATACTACCTATCATCAAGACTGTCTAAACGCTTAACACAATTACTTAGCAACTGTAAGATCTTAAAGTAAGATAGCACCATATGTGTGCGTTGGTTTTGCTCCCTCAAAAATTATCCCCTCGGGTAGTCTTTGAAACTTTCCGCGTGTCATTCTCCAGACCATTAAAAATTTCATCTTTCCGTGCAAGTCAACTATCTTCAGTGCAGAACAGCCGTTTTTTGTGGTCCTTAACATATTGGCATATTTAATTTCGGAATATTTCCCATCGTAAACCAGTTAACACGCAGTGAAACTTCAGACTATATATCTCAAAAACCAAACCTTAGTGCAGTCGTTGCAGTTATTTTTCTACACAGTTTTTAGTCCCTCCAAAACTTAGTGTAGCGTTTTCCCCTTCTGGGAAACTGCTCAAATGTTGGCTAAGTTCCGATGTTCCTGCTCGATAGTGACTGCTGTGCCAATCCATTTCCTACTGGGTCCAGACACAAGAGCGAATATCCTTCTTGGTCACGGCCTAATCGAACTCACTGGGTATCCTGCTTCCTGAAGTCTGTTGGCAATATCGATTTGAGCTGCTCTTCGGCTGATCTCTTCCGTGCATAGCGCCCTGACTCGACTAAACAGCGATGAGGCAATACTGGTGAATTGTAAATTAAACTGAACCTCTATTTGAACCTGTAAATGAGATTACCAGAGCGCATTTTGTTGCGAAGTAAACTTCAAAATTTTGAGACTAGACTGTAGATGAGTAAGATATTTGAACTGCCTGAGACGTGGCGCCTGACACTTTCGGTTCCACGACATATAAAATGATTGTTACCGATGAAAAATTTATTTGTAGCAATGATTTTTGTTAATCTTTCACCAAAATCAGCGCCCAACACCGGTGTTTGATTGAGCTAGTAATTTCTTGTTGCGTGAGAAAGCATGCCTTTATGGTTTTGGGGCATAACTCCAAATTGTCGAATTTGTTCACCGGGTGTTTAATGTATTTCTAAATATATTGTGCTGGATAAATTGGCAACGACAAATTTACGGATTTGAACAAGATAAAAGCTCCTACATGTTGCGTTTGGGCTGGTGTATACCAAAGGCATTTCAGAATCACAAAACAGAAGTGTATTTGACACAGGCTATGGGGTGTTCAACACCAATGAACGTTAAAACTAGGGCGATCACAGAACATAGTTGTGGGATCGAAGTGCCACAAAATACCGACCGCAATTCACAGCGGCATCAGATATGGTGGCAAAATTTCCAGAAATTACGAAAAACCTGTTAAACGCAGATGCACCGATGGCTTTCTGGGCATTACATTGCCCCTTACATTACAGTGTTACCCACATTTCGCCTCACTGCACCATCTCGCAGTAGTGCAATGCATTTATCATAACTTGGAATTTAGATAAGGAAACGGATGAACCCAACATACACAGAGCTCATTTTTAAGTCACATTCACACTTAGGAACTGGAGAGTGTACTGATATTCTGCCTAATAGCAACCACACACAGTGTGCGCAAACTCCACCCACCAACCCACCGTGCTCTGCAATAAATTCGAAAAAAGTAGATTCGGTAACAAGTCCGTTGATTTAAACAGGGGAAAGCCTAGTTGAAAGTGAAATAGTTCATCCAATGTACCCTATAGCTTTGTATTCACCACTTCACCTAGAGATCGAGGTACCATCTTATTTACACGAAAATGATAAGACTATAAAGATCGGATTATAGTTGCAACCTTCTAAGCCAGTATTTCGCACTTTGACGTGAGTTGGCTATAGCTGTGAACGCTGTCTTATTTAATGGCGTTTAAAGTAAGGCAAATGGTGCAAATGAGTATATAGAGAGAACAATTAAAGAAAAAAAGAATTTGAGTGGTCCGCGAAACATCTTCCTATTTATGCAAGCCCTACTTAATAACTGGATTTGGCGTAGCTTTCGGGATCACGCCGCTGCTCACCTAAATGAACCAAAATTCTAGGTTGGGATAGGCCACTTCTGCTCCAAGAACCCGCCGAAAAACGGTGGCTGTATGGATATTCAAACTTGGAAGAATTGGCGTAGGGAAAATAGTTGCGTAAAAAAAGGTTCCATTGAAAGCCGCGCCATAAATACACGATAGTGAGAGTGATCGAAGAATGCAGCGAATTAGGGAGTCATTCAAAATATCCATATTTCTTTGTCAACCGTTTGGGCGAGTGAAATCGATGAGAAGTTCTAGAACGATTAGCCATTTTTGAAAGAACAAAAACGAGGACCAATACATAGTGAGAAGATTGGAATTTTGCTGCGTATTCGACTGTGTAGAGTATGACCACTGACAAATTTTGATTGTTGATAGGAGTAATATGTGTTTAATCTTTTCGCCTTTCAACAACTTAGTGACTTGGTGGTTGGTACTTCCAAAAAGTACTTCATAGTCAATTAGCGCCGACAATCTTCTCGCATAGTGGATAACAAATCAAACTAGTCACGTAAAATACTACCCCAAGGAAAGAAGTTATTGTGACCCAGTTTATTTTACGCAACAGATTAGACATGCCCCAGTGCAGGTAGTTACATAATTGTCAATGGTCACATTAGAATGGGTACGGGAATAACAGAAGAACTGAACCGTTTGAGCACAGCAACTATTCAACTTACCTTCCGCGAAATCGCCACATCCATACCATAGTCTTGCACGCGAGTTGACATCTTTGAAATATCACTACGATGAACTTAGCAGTACTAGCAAGTCCGAATGAACCCGAAAATTTTGTCAGACAAAATGGAGCACCAAGAAGCGCAGCACCAGCAGCCGAGACCTCAAAGGTTGAACTACAAATATCTCCACCGCGAACTTCACCTTAACAAACAATGGGTGATCGATTTGGCTCCACGACATCTGTCGTGCTGTCAGTGGGTAGACTGTTTTCTCCTGTTGTGCCCACGTAGGCGGTGTCTGGTGTTACGGAGTCTTGCATTTGTGCACAATTGGTAGTGTCTTCCTATAAGGACACGGACGCCAGGACGACCACCTTAGTGATACAGTGGGGTCAGTCAACGGCTTAGATGGTCTAAGCCTCAGTGACGCGAAGCAGTTACATGTGCACATTTTCAGTCATTGTCTAGGTACTTGCTCCCTTTCCGAAATCTCGAGCCAATCAAAACCACGGGATCGATCTGGCACCCCATGGCGTGTGTGTCCATAGGTTCCGAGCCAAAAGTGTACGTATGTCATGCGATTCGGTGATTACCAGTTCCGAACGGTCGGATGTTATTCTGTAAATGGCAGGTTGAACACTGATCATCAGAGGCGGTGCACTCTTACTTCGCAAATGCACGAAAACCTGGTTAAAATTAGCACCAAATTCACGTACCACGTTGTTTGTCTTTTAGGCAAGCTAGTAGAACTATTTAGCTGACGCAGTTCATTCATAATTTGCCTGCCTCTATATTCTTGCACTCGAATATTCAATTTAGGTTCGGGAAACTTTCTGCCATTGTTAAATTTCACTTGCTCCCTGAAGAAGAAAGAAGGAAGAATGTAGCCAGATGTTCTCTTATCCATGTCGATGTCTCATGCACGTCAATGTATATATGTATCCATCGAATTTCTGGAAAAATCCAGCTGTCAGTGTTGCGAGTCTATACAAGGGGACTTCAATTGTAATACCAGTCTGAGAGACTTCACTTGAAAATTCGGTATTGGGAGCTGTGTGAACATGTGGCATCTTAACAGGGTCGATTAGAAACACATTCGGTTTTGAAAGAAGTCCAACTGATGAGCAACTATCACTGAGCACTTGCGGCATTTGTCGGTGTGCACCTTGCAACTCTAATTTGAATAGACGTTCTCTCCTTTAAGCTCTCCAGCTGATTCGTGCCAAAAGAGAAAATAACCACAGTGGCTATATCAGGAGAGCGCCCTAGATTCTGACGATAGAAATATGGAGATGACGGTTGTTAGAGTTGAATTGTACAAGGGAAACAAACATTCATCTTAAGGTTCTGGATGTCCACAAAGAAGAAGCGCCTTGATCATTGTAGTAGGGCAATTTCGTTACCTTAATCGCGTAATACTGCAGACGGGAGAACTTTCTACAAATATAGAGGGAAACCGGCTGTCGATTCTCGGTTGCTGATACAGAGTCCTCCACCAAATAGCAAGGATCAAGTTTTAGAACTCCCTAGTCGCCAATAAACGACAGCAGCTTGAGGCATTACATCAAAACCTAAAAATTATTTTCATCACAGTCACTGTCATGGAGCAGATGACGTTATAAGCTTGCAAGCTCTTCACATAGAACTGCCATCTTGGCTTGGTGGTCGGGCTTGAGCGCTCCAGTGATCACTCCGGCTACATTGATCAGAACTTCGGTTCACAAACAAGAAAGATCAAGGGGCAAAAATACCTGTACTAAGAGTAATCATATTGTGGGGCGGTCTGGAGGTGAATCTGTACTGTTCTCAGCGAAGGGCCTGCGAAGATGTCTTCCCAAAGGAAAACAATGTCCATTTAGAAGAAGCGATGCTGTCTTCCCTCCAAAAAGAACTAGTAAGAAAAGGTCAGCCCTAGGAACTGCACACTGCGGTCGCCCAACTGTTGACCGTGACTGCCGGTGCACCGCTCAGTACGGTTGAAATACTTTTAAAACCATAGTCTGGTGCTGCCCAAAAGGTACATGCTGTGCGCAACCGCATTAGAAATCAAGTGGTCATGACTCACCCCCTGCGCCCTTGGGTCAGGCTAGCCCACAGTTTTGTTGTGGTCACGAACTGTTTCTGGCCAGCACGAACTTTCAGCATACATGTTCGCATCGCAACTTAGCCATGGGTCCGGCTGGATCACTTGGCCATCAGCCACCTTTGGAGAGACACAAACCAAAACTGTCGTTCCTTCTGCGGCTCACAGCTTAACTTCGATTACACCTAACAATTCGCTTCCATTTAGCCTCAACAAGTCAGTAAGATATATACAACTCCACTGGTTTTGAAGAGCAACAATACTTCAACTGTAATGAATTACCACTGAACTGGGAGCAATCATATGGAGGAAGCCATCCGGATTTGGAAAGATAAGGCAGCATTTGCGAAGCTGTATCACCTGTGGTCTAGGTGTGACATCAGCTTACCCGTCATTACTCGAGTTTATGATGGTGCGCTGCGCTCCACATTACTATGTAGGTCAGAAACCTAGCCAGTGCGCGCTGACGACGTCTAAAATTTTCAGTGTTTGACCGTAATGTCTCCCTAGGCTGCACTCGGTTGGTCACGTGCCCCGTCGGCCAGTCGATTGGCTTCCTCGAAGAATGCTTTCTGAACAACCAAGCGAGAGGTGAACATGAGCCAGGAGAGGTCAAACAATAGTTAGCAACGAAAGAGAAAAGTCTTCTCCTGAAAAAAAGGTGTGCTGGTCATTCTTCCCTCCCTGGATGGGGACCCAGGGACGGGACACATCAGTGGTTAGAGGCATTGCCAGACACGTCCCAGCCGCGCCATCAATGGAGCTCGTGCATCCAAGCTGTTTCATTCAATACACAGCTTCCCCTTCCCATCTCCTCAAAGGTCCACCGTCCCCTCCGTAATAGCACATCGATTATGCCACCTACCGTCTTTAATGCGTGGCTATCTATCCCTGTCTCTCACATCATTGCCGAACAATCACTGTATAACAAGTATACCGTTTTTAAAACTGATGATGATGACGAGTTCGATGATGAGCTGAATCTCAAAGGCAGCATACTTTCCTTTCGAACACAGGGCCGTTCACAATTCTGTATTTCCGAATCGCTTTGATGTAATCTACCTGAATCCGTGACCCACTGACCTGTGTTCACCCAGTTTCACATCTGCACACATGAATTTAACCAGCCATTCTCGTGGTCTGTCTACTTTCAACACATATTTCCAAGACATTTTTGTGGCAACATTTGTGCACGCGTGCTGTGAAGATTTACTGTGAAACTTAAGGCACATGATGTTATCCTCAGGCAGTAATAAATCAAAATAATATATACATGGTTCAGTTGTCGCACCCTTTCCTCGCCTAACCGCCATGCTACCCAAAGGAAGCACGAGGGCTGGGATACTGCCAGGTTGTCCAAGCCTAGACAGGGGAAGCTGGGATGCAGAAATAGGGTTCACTGACCTTCCGGCCAGTGAATTCGCACTCTAACCACTTAACCATCTCTCCCACATATTTCCACAAATAAAGCTGCCCGGTGATTTAATTCAGCATCTATACCGATAAAAAGTACTACCGAACAGAACCAAGCAGTCACCATCGACTGTAAGGAGCTCCAAAAGTAATAAAAACGGGAGAGTCTACTGGGTTCTCTGTTAACACCAAGCTCAATTGCAAAGAAGTTTATTCCAGTGCTGGCTTCTGGTTCGGTGTTCAAGTAGAACGTGATACTGAAAAGTGGGTCTCCTGAAAAAAAGGTGTGCTGGTCATTCTTCCCTCCCTGGATGGGGACCCAGGGACGGGACACATCAGTGGTTAGAGGCATTGCCAGACACGTCCCAGCCGCGCCATCAATGGAGCTCGTGCATCCAAGCTGTTTCATTCAATACACAGCTTCCCCTTCCCATCTCCTCAAAGGTCCACCGTCCCCTCCGTAATAGCACATCGATTATGCCACCTACCGTCTTTAATGCGTGGCTATCTATCCCTGTCTCTCACATCATTGCCGAACAATCACTGTATAACAAGTATACCGTTTTTAAAACTGATGATGATGACGAGTTCGATGATGAGCTGAATCTCAAAGGCAGCATACTTTCCTTTCGAACACAGGGCCGTTCACAATTCTGTATTTCCGAATCGCTTTGATGTAATCTACCTGAATCCGTGACCCACTGACCTGTGTTCACCCAGTTTCACATCTGCACACATGAATTTAACCAGCCATTCTCGTGGTCTGTCTACTTTCAACACATATTTCCAAGACATTTTTGTGGCAACATTTGTGCACGCGTGCTGTGAAGATTTACTGTGAAACTTAAGGCACATGATGTTATCCTCAGGCAGTAATAAATCAAAATAATATATACATGGTTCAGTTGTCGCACCCTTTCCTCGCCTAACCGCCATGCTACCCAAAGGAAGCACGAGGGCTGGGATACTGCCAGGTTGTCCAAGCCTAGACAGGGGAAGCTGGGATGCAGAAATAGGGTTCACTGACCTTCCGGCCAGTGAATTCGCACTCTAACCACTTAACCATCTCTCCCACATATTTCCACAAATAAAGCTGCCCGGTGATTTAATTCAGCATCTATACCGATAAAAAGTACTACCGAACAGAACCAAGCAGTCACCATCGACTGTAAGGAGCTCCAAAAGTAATAAAAACGGGAGAGTCTACTGGGTTCTCTGTTAACACCAAGCTCAATTGCAAAGAAGTTTATTCCAGTGCTGGCTTCTGGTTCGGTGTTCAAGTAGAACGTGATACTGAAAAGTGGGAGACTGCGCCTACCTGATGTGCCGTAAGAACGACGAGACCTGTCGTGGGACAATGAAGAGTTTTATTAAACCCTATTAGCAATGTTTCGACATAGGAGCATAGGAGCTATTGCTGCAGTTAGGTTAAGTTAAAATGTACTATGACATCTGTGTTTTGCGACTGATGGTAAAAATTCTTTGGCCCGCATGACAGCTTCCCTGTCAGTTTGAGTGATAGCTGTTTGTCGTCTTGAACTAACAGATGTGCTTTGCAGACTCGATGTTCTTTCATTGCTATGGTACGCAAGGCGTGAATGACAGCAAAACAATACCTCAAAATACATAGTATGCTATAAATATAAATCTTTGCTTGACTGCATTCAAATCTTCTGAATCAGACAAAAGACATCATTCTTTTGATGAACTTTTTTCACCGGGGGATTGTAGACTCGCCACTTTACAATGAGTAAAATAACGGTATTGCAATCCTTAATGAGCTCGATTGAGGAAGAGTAATTGGTTTCTGAAGTGAAAACTTTGAAGGCACCGGACTGTTGGCGTTATCTGACAGACATCCTTTTTTGCCGGAATGCGCATTAACGAATGTGTTTAGTGTGGTTGGCAAATTACACTAAACAACTGAATCTATTAAGTGTTTGCGTTTATGAGCGCCACTGAACCCGAACAAAGCACATGATTCACTCTAACATGATATAAGCGAGCAGGCTGCGGACAGTTTTGTACGCTAGGTTGAATCGGCATGTGTTCGATTGCATTAGCGAAACTATTCATCGAAAAAGTCCTGCTATCTTGTCTTTCTTTCGGGCACACCATATTAAGGCCTTTTGTCTCCAAGATGGATCATGCTAGCTCAGGTTATTTATTGTTGTTTGTCGTGCCGATCTCCCCACCCAATCTTTTTTAATAACCGGTAAACGCGGTGGACTGCACTGATCGAATTTGGCGATATGCAACATCCGACCTTTGCCACGTCATGTAATCCTTGGGAGGAAAGTTTCGTGTGCGTAGGCGAACCGGGCTTCCAGAAAAGTAGGCAACGCCATGGTTTACAGTCATTAAGTGGATTTCTCGATCATTTATAGCAATTCTAGTCAAACAAAACTCTCAGGTTTACATTTTTTCGTAAAAACTCCCCAGACCGTATGGAAACTATACGCTGCTTTGATTTTTTAATTACTTTTTCTTGTTTACTTCCGTGAAGTGGTCTGATGCGTACAAGAGCTCACTAGAGTCCGAAAATTACCCCTCACGGATTTTTGAAATTATTGCAATACATTAGGATCCTAAGTGATCACTGTGATAACTGACAACCACCAAGAACAGTTGGACCACTACATTGATCTGATACATGTTTCATATCGTTATCTGTTTAGCAATAAAGGACACACTCATGACCGATATCATACTTGTGTGGGATGAAAGAAGGCGTGGTCATCTACTACTTTGATTACTGATGTTTCACTGTGGACTGCGGCAGCATGCCAGCACTCTCCACAGTTCTTTAAATCGAATTGGTTTCTCGTGTAAACCCGGACCGAGGGCATGCTAGCTGGCCGGAATTCTCGACACTTGCAACCCTTCTGGATGGACCGATAAGGCTCAGGCCAATTCAGTTTACATTCACCGTGGTATTGTTAGTGGACCCTCGGTGCTGCGATTCACGATGAAAAAATCTGCCAACCAAAGCTGCATGCGATGTTTTCTTTTATGCTACTAAACGAGTGCTGATCAGGACAAAGCACTGTTTTCCAGGATAAACAACAACTTACATTAATGCGAACTAAAATACCTAAAAACTCCCGCAGCCGTGTTTTGTGAGAAATAGCACCTAACTGCTCCCCCGAAGGTTCTAATGCAGGTCGTTCTACTCAGCCAAATGCAGTGACCAGCCAATGCAGATTTGGCAAAGATAACAATCAGAATATATTACTAGGACTACTTATGTCCACTAAGGCGTGTATGACGACAAGGTAAGTATAAACCTGACAGTATCACTGAATTAGGACTTGACATGATACTCTTTATGTTGTGACCAAACACGAAGACGGCTCACAAGGAGAAACAGATAGAATGGTGGTGAAAATAGGATGTCGGAGTGAGTTCAAAGTTTTCAGGAGGACCAGACAGCATCAGCTTCTTTTAACGTGATCTCGCAAAGAAGAAGAAAGCACCCATTCAGCTCGTGTGAACATCTCTGCTTCCCACTGTCATGATTATTCTGGTGGGTGCGCACCAAAATGAGAGGCACTGAACCGGAGTTTCACCCATATTAGTCTCATTTGCGATGCACTGACAGTGGAACCTCGGACATCTGACTCAAGAGACGAGCTTGTTTCTAGTGACCGATCAGAGTCATCTAGACAAATTTATGTACTATCAAATGTGAACAGGCTTGTTTGTTCTACAAATTGATCGATATGACTTGTATGTCCACCGGTTGGAATGTCAACCCAGTAAGAATTCTGCTTCTAAGAACAGTGGTAGTTTTCATATTGAATCCAAGTTAAGTGAAGATTAAACGTGTCCGTTTTTCATTTTCTATAACCAGGCAGTGCAAATGACCAAAAGCTTTTCTGATAAAACAGAAATACTCCTGCGAGCAAACACTAAATATCACTGACGCATTTGGCGATGAATTTTCTCTACCGTTTTCATCGATGTGATATTTAGCGGGACATAGCATTTACTCACAACTAGTTACCAACCGCAATTATCATACGATCCACACGCGTTTTGTTCAAACATTTTCACATTTATACTTTGGTTACACACTTTGGAGAGTATAATAACCAGCTGGGTACTATCCACTTTGTCAGCAAATGAATCCGGTATGCTGCAGAAACTGATCATACGGGTCACACGTGTGTAAACTAGAATTATCGACGGGAAATATTTATTTCGTTGTGAAGTCTATAGCGCCAAGTTAGAACTGATGGGAAACTTTTATTGCTCAGCAATTCATGTGAAGTACCAAATGTAGTTTTTCTACCAATCTCAGACAGTAGTCCTTAGTTAATGGAAGACGGAAAATATTCATCTCACTATAACAGTAGAAGGTTGTCACACGGATCATGAGGGTCAACAGAGGTTTCATTCAGCCTTTTCTCCTAAATGCAGATTTGGGATGCCATAACAAGTATGTGATACACTTTAAATTGCCCGAAAAATAAACCTGCTAAACTATTCTTTAGTGAAATTAAATAGCCAGAGCTGTTTAAAAAGTCAGTCGCTGGTTGTTGCTTCTGTCTTCAAAATCAAAGGGACAATTCTCGCACTAGATTTTAGCTGTTCTCACCAATAAATACTCTTGGTAAAGCGGATTATAATACATGGCTGGCTGAAGTTTAATAAAAAATTTATTAAATTTCATTAATTAACTTGAGCAGAAGCGTGATAATATTTGACTCGCGGCAAATTAACATTTGGTTTATTTTCATAAAGGAAACTACTCACAAGGTTGCTGAAAACTCTTCGACAGCCCCCGACCGGTTTCGCCCTTCTTAACACTCATCAGGTAGGTGGAGTCCCCGAGTTTCCGTCAATCTTATGTTCTACTTTAACCCAAGTTTGACTGTTTTTCGAGAAATGCATTCATTTGCAAATCAATTTGGTCTTCACGAGAGTCCCAACTGAATCTCTTGTTTATGATATTACAGTAGTTTCCTTTATGAAACTACACTATGATATCTCGAATATCGTGCCAACTAAAACATGAGGCTGCCTGTGTGCAGCATATTCAGTTGTAGAATATCATAAACGAGAGATTCAGTTGAGTCTGTCGTGAAAACCGAATTGATTTGCAAAGGAGCGCATTGCTAGAAAAACATTTAGTTTACTTTCATCAGCTCTCTCATAAACCACATTTATGGGTTTATCACAAGGCAACAGCAGTTCAAAGTAAACGTTAAAACACTCAAACGAGCCATCAGAGATTGCAGCAGAAGTGAATGGATCTCATTAGTTACGATCTGCTTGCGAAACCAGCCACCGGATTCAGTGAATTGATCAACCGCCACCTACAGAATTCTAGATGGCTCCTCGTTCGCCTCTTATCCGCTTACCTACAACTATTTAGTATCGAAAAGTACAGAAGACCACCGTGCTGCTTCCTTCTGCTGGGATGCACAGGGAAACTGCAACTCGAAATAAAACCTTCTTTTCTTTGCTTACCATCAGACATTCATTTGGGTTGAATGTTTCACAATTCGTTGCGTAAGTGGGCGAACAAACCATCTCGGACAAGTACACCGGTTGCCCTGTGCGTCTCTACGAATAAAATTACAGTCAGTGCAATCGAATAAGCCAACGAGCGCGGAAAAGAAAATCAGCGCGTGGTGAGGAATTCACAATAATAAGTCGGGACATTTTTACCAACGGACATTTGGGCCCAGATGATTTGGCCCACAGAACTAACGGTCCGGACATTCCGATCCTGTTCTAAATATAACCATCCAGTCACTTTTTCTCATGGAAAGGAACAGACAGAACAAACCCTAGTGTGCTACACAAATTATGGAAGAGCGAGGCGCCTCTAAACCTGGATGCTGCTT